TATCTTTTAAATGGGAAAATTTAAATAATTATAAATATGATAGTTTTTCGAAAATTCTAATTGAGAAAATTTTTAAGAATTTGAAAAGAGATATTGAAAAAAATAATTATCTATTAGAATATGGTTTTACATATTTTTAATTAATTTATGAAGATAATTTGATGTTAATTAAATGTTTACTCTAAGTTAATATATTGATATCAAATTTTTATATTAAAGAATCAATGGAAAAATTCTAAAATTTAGAGGGACAAATGTCAAACTTAAGTAAAAATAAGATACTAAAAATAAAAAATTGTTAACACCAAAAGTGACACGTGGTAGTTTCTCAAAGTTTCAATTAGAGAAAACTTTAAAATATTATATTAGATTATCGTAATTAACATTATTAAATGGTTAATGATCGAATGAGTTATGATTGTTGGAAATTTTTTTATTTTTTTTGAAATAAAACAGCAGCCATACAAGAAGGTTACCACTTACAAGGATCTTATGCGCAGAAACATCCGTGCTTATCTAAAACTAAAAATAGCAATATGTGAAGAATATGTTTACGAAAATAACTGAAAGTGTCTAGTTTTATAAAGCAAAATTATGTAGAGATAAAAAGCATTAGGATAGTTTCAGAAAAAGGGAAAAAAAGGAGAGGTGGACTATGTTTTTTTTTTGGAACAGAATGAGATAAGAGAATACTGTCATAAAGAAAGAACTGTTTGTAGTTTCCATTAGTCCACGTGTTCCACCTCTTGAGACTTGATCAATAGCATCTAACAGTACTAGGAATATAACATGTCTTTATGTCATCGACTAACAAAATCAATTGGTCCATTTATTTTCACCATCACACGGACACTTCGTCTACGCTAAGAGCGAGCCCATTTGTCTATGCTAAAAACGAGCCCATTCGTGAATGCTAAGACCAAACGTGATATACCCGATATTTTACTACTTTTACTATTTTTGTTTGTTTGTTCACATACCACTTTTACTATTTATTTACTATGTTTTTCTGACAAAAGAGATAGTTTTTTCGTATATATAGGTTTCAAGGTCTTAACAAGTTAAACTATAAAATAGGATGCAAAAAAGAGCAAAATGAGTGTTATCTATGATACAACTACTTACTCAAGTCTAAAGAACCAACCCAAGTAATTATATCTTCAAAATAAAGCATATTCTCAAGTTGGACAAAAAGTATATGCCAGATGTTCACTAATGAACGGAGGATTAAATCAACATGGAATCTAATGAAACTTGGTCTGAAGATAGCCCTTTGAGTTAGATTTACAATGGAATTGAAATTTCATCATTTTGAGCTGTACTTTGGAAGATACACTAGATTCAATGAAGACATGTCAAACTACCTAAAAAATGAGGCAACTGCAGAAACGAGCCTAGCAGCGGACCAGCTCGGGGGCCGACGTTTTAGACAGTTGCCGTGACTGGTGGTTGAACAGTTTTGACCAAAAAGACACTTTTGCCCTAAAATAAACCTAGCTGACTTAGGACTCTTCAAACCCTATATATACTTGCTTTTAGTCTCTACTAGGACAATAGGCATCCGGCCTAAACAGTCACAAATCAATACCAAAACATGTATTTCGTTTTT